TGTAGACTAGTCTTGTAGCAGACCAAATTCTCTTCAGGGAGATTCAAAAACTTTTAAAACTAAAAAGAAGAAGATAAAGAAGAGGGCGTTGAACCAAACGCAGGTGGTCACATTTTTTCTTCCCAGTCCGTGCGCAGATCAAGAGAAAATAAAATTAATCCTCGACATCCATGGTTATCTGACTTATCAAAAACTTCTTTACAGCTTCAATAAAATCCATTTACCCGGGACAATCTCACGAGTCCGACAACAGCCCATTTAAAGTCCATTTAAACTTTCCAACGCATTTACTTTTAAGACCGCAGTCTTCTTAGTCCAAACTTGGAAAAAAGTGCCTTTGATCATGAGTGAGAGTTTATAATCGACTTCCTAAATATGCAGAAATGTCCCTCTATCGACGTAGTGCGCGTTTGTCATCAAACGCTCGCAGGATTCATCAGAAAGAGAGCACACTACACGTTTAGTCGGAGCCCTGCTGTTGATACTCTCCCCGTGCTGTCCCTCCTCCCATTATTATCGCTGCCTCCTCCTACTCACACTGCAGCCGCCGTCAAGTCACACAACAGCGACCTGACCACTTCCGGTCAGCTCGCTCAAAAATAAAACTACAGAAAAACTATCATACAGGTATACAGGGAAATACATGCTGATTGTTATTAGAGTAAATCTATATTATATTTAATGATAGGCAGAGAAATAGTTGACTACGATTAAAAAAATCCATGTACAGGTTTTGTCAGTTATGAAGTAATAATACCGCCTCTCACACCTAAGAAGTTAATTATAATGTTTTACGTTAAGGACGTCAAGTCAAGTCAAGTCAAGACACAGTTATTTATATAGTACATTTAAAGAAACAGCGGTTAAGCCAAAGTGTTTTTGAATAGATTATACTATAGTAAGGACATTATTATGTAAATGGATTAGTTCAGTATTATGATGAAAAACTGTACAGTGTTACAAATTATGCATATTTGCCTGACAATTGTAAATATTTAGATTACGACTGCAATATTAGATATAGTACAAATTAGCCTGACTAACTTAAATGCTCAGGTTAAGAATATTATACACACTACCTGACCAACTATCTGACCAAGGTGTAAATACTAAACGACATCAGGGTTCAGGTGTTGTGCTGCGTCACATTCACATTCACATGAGGCCCATTAAGCATAACAAATCATCCCTAAAGCTGTAATCGTGACTTCCTTGATGGGGAGCATTCTCTAGATTTTTCAAGCTGTGGGTGATAAATCAAGACACTTTTTCTCGTTCTTAGCAGCACGTGTTATGTAACTTTTACACTTATATCTGTCACACAATAAGTGCTCATCGCCAAGTGGGTTGTAAAGACTCTACTTAAATGTTACACATATAAACAAATATATAAGTCAAATATTATGGTGCAGCAAGTGATGACGAAATAATCTATTATATAATCAACTTAATGGTGCAAAGTCAAAAAAATATGCACAACATAATAGGCAACATATATCAGTATTTTAATGCTTTAAAATGAGAATTAATAGAGTAATTTATTTCAGCATTCCAAATTCAATATGTGTTTTTCACGTTTGGTTTTATATACAGTGCCACACAAGGAATTTCAAAACCATATTAAAAGTAGTAAAAGGGAAGCGGAAAAGTCTACAAACCAAATTAGCAAAAAGTAATTGTAAGCAGAGTGACATGTTGCACAACTTGTGGTGGAAACAATGACAGTATGAGGGTAAAAGTCTGAGTACGTCTGACAAAAAGCAGCTTTTACTTTGAAACTACATTACGGGTGCTCCGTCAGTGCTCCGGCCGTTTGTGTGTACCTTGACGCTGCTGGTACTTTAGCGCCTCAGACAAAAGCGCCTTTCGGTGGGAAACACTGGTGGTCGTAACAAAAGGCAAACACACGCATAAAGCACACATTCAGCTCGTTTAGGAAAGCCTCCTGCAAATATTAAGCAAAAGATATGGTGTTTGGAGATATATATTTTAGCATGGGCGACATTTTTCCTGAATGGAAAATGGAAAACAGGAGATATTCAAAATCTTTTGTCAATATAAAATACACTGAGTTAGGTTTTAGCCCCCCCATATACACCTCATATCAAATATCATCCTTCATCCCTTTTCTATAAGAATTAACCAGTGAAAGACGTAAATTTAATGAGGTTATCACAGTTTGCCTTAAAATTAGACTTACATATAAATACCCTGCTGATACAGACAAGACTTTTGTGGCAAATTAATAAATAAAGTGTCTTCTTAATAACAAAGTTATTTCTCTCTTTAAAGTACAGGACATTTTCAACAACCTTAATGCCAGTGAAATGTGTACATTCGTCATGAAGTCAACCTTTAATTTGAAAAAATAATGATAACAATTAATTAGCATGAAGCTTTAGAAACTCCACTGCTGTTAAAGTTATGAGTTTAGCATGGTTAGCTTTCCGCTAGCTAACGAAGCTAGCAATAGTCATTTATTATTCTCTTCTCTAACCTTATATACATATACAGAAAGGAAATACATCTAAAATATACATATATATATCTTGTGTAATCAGAAATGTGTGACAATTTTTAACTTTATTTCTTGTATTTCCGTGTTTACATAAATTAGCAAACCTAAACCAGCTACTATGTTAGCATTAGTGATGGTGTTTCGCTAACTTAAATGCTATTTCATTCAATACTGAGTCAAAGCTAACTTTTTTTTCCCTTTAATGTTACAGATTCTAATGATGGTCAGCCTGGTGCTTTCTAAAAACAAAGAGGGAAAGGGTTTCTTTTGGCAACTTTACAGTCAAAGATATTAATTTTCTTACCTCTAAACCTCTTCTTGTGATACTGACAGGGATGCAATCTGTCAGTTATTGGGGTCCTGTTGACATTTCAGTTTAAATTAGCCAATCAAGTGCCAGATGCCCCTGTCTCTCCACAGGGCCTGTTTAAAAGTTTTTTTTTAAAACAAAAACAAAAAAAAAACACCAAATATTTGTTTTAATGAGTTACTGTGACATGGCAAGATTTAATATGATCCACAATACACTATAAACTCATTTTGTGCTTTGTGAAATGTCAGCTCAGCAGTTTAAATGGCTGTAAATGTGTGTTACTAAACTAGGTTTGAAGGTTTTAATGCAAAAACAGTAATTTTCCGTGGACAGGAGTGTTCGTCTTGAAGTTGTTTTATTTTCCCATGAAAATGATCCCTTCGTGCCTTAAAATGGCTTAGATGTGACTCTAACACAGATTGTTCTTCTAAATTGTGCAGACACGTGAAGACGCTGTCTCTCTTTTCACCCAACCGTCTCCGCTGGTTGCAGCTCGAGCACATCAGCTCACCTACAAGTCTGCTCGAAGACTGTTAAACTACTATGCACTGCACAATGGCAAGCTGTGACATTGGAGTAATTTAGCCATACATGTTCAATGTAAACTGATGACGCAATAGGTCCAACTTGCACATTGACGAGATTCGTTTTTAAGGTTTGTTATATATGAAATCATAAAAAGTGTTTTCAAGACAGTCATTGGTACACTGCAGCTTCAAACCTCAACCACGGCACCAGCTGCTTATGTCACTCATGATGTGTCTTGCTTCTTATAAAAACACCATATGAACATGTTAAAGTAAAAAAAACTTGGTTTTCACCTCAGGGAATCTTTAAAACCAACAAAGGTTATTAGAAGGCACTCATCAAGGTTGGTGATAAAGTGCAAATAAAGTGTAGTTACCAGGAACAATTCAGTAAATCTCTATTTTCTGTAAGAGGTTTTGTGCGCGAGTGCTTCTTGAAAAGATAGGGGGGGAAAAGTTTCTGAGCTGATTTAAAGTGCATTATCTAATCAGACTAATACCAGTTTGTAGTTGCTTGCTGACTCAGTAGGCACATTTGAGCAAAGAAAGAAACAAAGAGAGCACTAGGAACTATCTCTGAAATTGTCCTCTTAGCGAACAGCAGGTTGCCAGACATCTGAAAGGATTACGGAAGTCCAACCTTTACCAGTGATGTTTTACATATGACATTACTCTGCATCTAAAACCGGGATGGCAGCCACACCTTCACCCAGTACACTTTCAAATTATGCTGAAACTTGATGAGAGGGGTAAAGGTTTGTTGACGCAGATTAACAGAACGTCAGGTCTTAATTGCTTGTGTATTCCTCTGTTTGGCAGTGTTTACTCTCACAGACCAGGTGCACCATATGGAGATCAAAGGATTGGATTTAATCACATGAAATCCTTCAAGAAAGAACAACTCTGAAGAGAAGGGAGGCATTAACTGAAGGCTAAGGCAAACTGCACCTCACAGTATATTGATCATATTGTAGAAAACAAACAGCGCCTAAATGAGAGAGCTAAATTAAAACTGCTGCACCTTCTGAACCACCCTGACTGTACGCATGGATAAGGTCTCAGGAGAAAGAACTTTTCTTGTGGAAGTGTCAGAAAACCTGTTGGACAATGTGTGTTTTAGCTGCTCTTGCACAAAATAAATAAGAAATAAAAGAAAATTGAAGCAATTTTAGCTAAAACATAAGACTTTCTGAGTTCTGTGCAACCAGATATGTCTGCGTTTACTGATATACTGTGCCTGGGCAAAACTAAAAGAAAAACGGGGAAGTAGATGCGGTTAGTTGCCTGCTGGAAAAGTCATACAAAATAATATATGAAGACAGTTTATCACTTAGCTTATTCTGTACAGCCTGACACCCTGTTCACCCACTTGTTATCTTATTTTTTACTGTAAATTCATTCATTTTAAACCAGTTTTGATTTTAGTTTTCCCTACTACTGAGAATGCAGGTAGATAATCTCACATTAAAGACATACTGAATAAAATGTCAGTTTTATTTGGCATAAAAATGATTTGATTTGTTTTTACTGAGTAAGAAAAAAAGTCTTAAATTTTTAGCCTTTATTACCTTAAAGCGGTCATATTTGTTATTCACTTCTACTTATAAGCTAAAATATATTATAGTCCTCCAATAAGACATTGAGGTTTTATATTTTTATAGATATATACAGTTTTATTTGTTACATCCCATCTCGTTGTGAGTATAGATGATCTAAATGATAAAAATGGCAAAATACAAATAAATAAAAGGAAATGCACTTTTATTCATTTAATCAAGCTAGCAAAACAAATGTAAAAATCAAACAATATACTGATCTGGTTTCATAACAGCAGCTTGGAATTATTACCGAGGGATAAAATCTCCCAGGGAACACTATAATTAAGAAGAATGATGACACATCATTTTCTTTAAAGGTATCGCTACCTTAACTTCAGCACAAGCAACACAGTGTATGAATTCATGTAATCACAGCAGGACTGAGGCTGACGCTGTGCTGGGCGTCAGTCATCAAAGTCTGGGATATCATCATAGGAGTATCCTGGGTAGCCCTTTGATGCATAGTAAGCTATCCGTAGGTGGTAGATACCAGGCAGGAAGACGAGGATCCCAATGATAAGGACGGGCACAGTTCGGTCTGAGTGCTGAAAGAAAGAAAACATTTTGTTTGTTCTGTGCAATGTTGTTAAAAAAAAAAAAAAAAGAAAAGAGAAAGAATCATTCCTTCTAAAAGTACTCACAGTGACTCCGAAGTAACCTGCCAGGAGAAGGGCGCCAATGATGATCAACAGAGATCCGATTAAAAAGAGGACAGTGGCTAGAGCGATGGCTTTGTATGGGACTTTGGGTGGGCTCCTTTTGAACTGCGGAGGAGGAGAAATTTTTAATTAAACCACTTTCCTCTGACACACGAGGCTCTCTACAGCACTGTTTGTTTTCCCACTCATTCACTCCATTAATCTGACTCATAATGTACTGGAAGTTCTTGCAAAAGTCTGTGGCTGCTAGATAGATTTTTTCCATCAAGATAAATGTACCATGATACTGTCATGATATATGGTGTATTGAAGGACGTAAGTAAGTTGGTTATTCATTTGATTCTTTGACTAAACACTGCAGTGGGCATTATCCAACTGTCGCAACTAAGTTATCTGTGTTGATTAGCCACTAAGGTTGATTTCCTATCATGCAGAGTACATTCTGCCTCTGAAATACATATATACTGTTTTCTGTGACTCTGGAGGAGATTCTTCCAAGTAAGACATGACAACCCTGAAGACAATAGGAGGGCAATTTTAGCTTTTGATTGGAGAAAAGCCAAAACAAAAACATCATGAGAAACGAAAGGGGTGTTTTTTTGTTTTGTTTAGTTTTGTTTTACCAGTTTCACCTCCTTTAAGCACTGAATGAGAAGATGTTTCAGTCCTTGTTCGCTTCTAAAAAATCTATGTAATACACATTCTATTAAAGTGTAATACATTCCTTGCAGTTTCTCTTTGCATTCATTATAATGTGGTCTAAATTAGTAAAGCACAGAATCGCTGTTGTATAGTGTGGGGATGTAAACGAGTACATTTACCAAGGTACAACAATTAGGCACAAATTGAGGTATTTATAATATACTTGAGTATTTTCACTTCATGCTACATAGAAACTCAGCTTTAGCTATTTTGCAACCTATGCCTTTTGCACAAAAAAGTCTGAAAAACTTAGAAAATATGATGTTTTGTGATGAATTAAACTACCCAACAGCTTATATAAGTACAGCTGAAATGGTTAGTTAATTACTTCATTAGTCAGTTGACAGAAAATTAAGAATTATTTTGATAATTAATTTGAGCATTTTGGCATTTCAAACCATTTTCAGAATTTCTACACATCAATCAACTGAAAAATTGAGAAAATAATAAGATTAATCCATTATGAAAATAATCATTAGTTGCAGTTAATGGTTCAGAATGAGTCAGTAAAAGTACATTAGTAGTAATAATCTAATTATGAAAATTAAATAATATTACAGTCACAAGGGACATTTAGCTGCAATAAATACCTTTAATTGTTTCAGTTGGAGCTGAATGATATGCAAACAAAATCAGATTGCAAACATTTTGATAAGTAGATAGTGTGATGGCGATATGAATATTTAGTGGAAACTGTATTTTTGCATTTCTTTCTGATGAAAGAAAAATACATAAACATTATGATGTGATTTTTACTGAGATCTGTACCCATCGAGCATGTGTCCTTAGAGCTGGAGCATATTTCTGGGCAAAATTAGTCATATAAAATAATATGTTGTGACACAACCTTATCAAAAAGTTGAACCTCCTGCGATTTGGATATTGCACTTCTGCCATAATGTAATTTTGATCAAATTTCTGTATATGATATAATTTGTTCGGCCCTACTTTCAGTACATTTATGTAATGACGTACTTTTCCTTAAGCAATACTTTCAATGCCAGAGTTTACCTCCCCCACTATAGCCAGCCTCTAGAAGTAGATGAACTGCAACCTTGAGTCTATAATTACGTCCAGGCAATCATTACTGATAAAAACTGCATTATACAGGGAATACATTATACTGTAACGCCTGAGGACTATTGATTGACTTCTCACCCCTAAATATAACAATAGTAGCATGATGCATGCTGTCTTACCTGTAAGTCAATGTAGCCGTCATCGTCTGTGGCTAACCTGGAGTACCTAACTTTGCTGTTAGGGATCCCCTGGGACACAACATTACGAGCAGGCATCTTCCTTGGCTGCTAGTTAGCTTGCTAACACTTTGTTTTCAGTGTTTCCGTGCGGCGGCGGCAGCTCAGCTACAGAAGCATAAACGACGCGGCAGCCACCATCGCTCACAAGCTGTCACTGCCGAAATACAGTAAAGTATTACACTTTATTAAGTGTAAAGTGGTTACGACTTCTTTAAACGCGTTTTGAGACGAGTTACCAGCGGGGTGGTGTCTGTTTAGGACCTTCTGCATGTAAGGAGCTTCCGTGTTTTTGATATGCAACTACTCTGCGCATGCGCAACCTGAACGTCTTTATTGATTGGGTAGAATTTTCGGTTCAGCATGTAAAATATTAATGTTAATTGTTCAGGCTTAAAACGTAAAAACGCATTGAACCAAAGTTCCCCTTTATTCTGACCAACCTTTAATTCAAATGGTGGTTTGCACCGCAATGTGGCTGCCACAAGAGGACGCTGTCGAGTCTCAGTTAAACGAGCAGGTCTCTGTCACTCTGCTGTCAGGATCACAGATACTGTCTGTGGTCAGGATGCATCTCTTCCTGTGGTTGTTCATTTCCTGAGGTGTTCTCTCGGGTCAGCTTTTTTAATCACACTGTGATCTCAGAAGATGGAGTTTCTGTTTAGGCTGCAGATATCTGATACAGTTTCCGTGTGACAGAGAGTGAAGAACGCAGTCTTCCCCTGAGGCCACACAATATTTATTTGACATACTTGCATGGAATTTTTACCGAATAGAAAATAGAAGAATCTGTAGAGTCTCACACTCTGTGCCATTATATTCAAATTATGCTCAAAATCAGCTGCTTTTTACACACTAATGCATCTTTCTGATTCCCGGTATAACCAAAATTTGGTTGAAGCCATGATATGGTTCAAAAAAAGAAAAAAAAACTGGTGCATCTAATTGTTTCATAGTAAAAACAGTCACTTCAGGTATGGAAACAGTCGCTTCAACTGCTTTTCTTTTATTTCCGCCAGATATCAGTCATTTCTCTGGTTATGCATCGCAATAACCTGCTCCTTGAACGACTGACCATGAAATAGGCAATAGACTCAAAAACAGCATCTGCTGACAATCCCCCTTATATGAATAATTAAAGCTGTTGTGGTAGTAGATTGTGCTTTTCCCCATTTTAAAAAAAAAAATCTGTTTTCACATTCCCTTGCTGGTCTGTGGAAAATTGGACTGTCACGTAGACAAATATAGACTCTCCTTTAGGCAGACAGCTGCCTGGCCCTGAAGCTACACACCAGTGGATCATTGTGATTCCAGCCTTCTCTTGCAGCTATATATTCAAGGATAAATATCCACAGATTGTAAATAATCTAGAAATACACAGCTGTTTTTGATGAACAGCAATAATAAGGCCCAAGTATGTTCTTATAAGATGCGCTTGCAGCATCAATAAAACACATTAAAGCACATACTGGCAGAGACGGAGTCTTGAGCGATCATTAGAAAGCTAAGTGACCTTGAGTGCATGTCGAATTGTTGTAGTTTAAGGCTGTTCTGTTGATCTCTTGGGGGAGATATAATATCATTCATTTGCGTTTCATACTCCTGCTGTTTTTCACTGAATGCAACGTGAATTGTAATGCGTCACTGTATGTTCTTTCTTCTTGTTCTTGTTTTTAATGCATTTTTACAAGCCTCTGCAAGATATAATCTCTATTAATCCACCCTGCTTTACAATTGGATTTCATCTTGGTTTTTGGGAGATTAAACAAATGTATTTTCTCTTTTGTAGGCCACTTTGAAATACATCAGTATTCCGATGCACAAATGAGCTGTACAAGCCGTAGATGCATCCTAAAATAATTGATTGTGTAGATATTCTTTATTCCCCTGGTGCCATCTTCAGTGTACCTGCTCGTGACAGTAGCAGAGGTGAACTTTGCCATTTACTTTATCAATCAGCTTGATTACTCATATTTAAATGTGCTTTATGACTGCACGTTGGCTCCACTCATCAGCTGACGTTAAAGCCTGCATCACTGGTGCGTCTTCCTTTGTACGCAAAATAACTTCTCTCCTTTCTGTTCCTCACTTGGACGTTCAGTACTTACAGTCAAGGTCGCTTCACAAGCCGCTTAACCTTCCTCAGTATGAATTTAGAAACACGGCATTATATTTATCTGCCGCTCGGCCTTGAAACAATCTACGGGACCAGCTAAATCTGCAATTGTTTTACATTCATAAATTCAAAATGAATGGGCTCAGAGCAGGACCACTGATGGAATAATCTCTCTGTGCGTAACCCCGCCGCCCCTTCCACTTGTGTTCAGACATTACTTCAGCTATTGTCTGCATGTCATGTCTGTCTTTGTCGCTGAAATGCTCATTGGTTTTAGGATTTCATGGGGATTTTCTCGTAAAATATTGATACAATGTACTTTGCAATACAAATAACAACACAAGTGACATCTGGAGTTCTGATTAATTAATCAGATGATCGGCAAGACTGTCACCAGCCGGAGGGGGGGCAGAGTGCGGTGTCATGTTAGATAATCCCTGCCACTAGACCATGATGCTCGCACAGAAGAGCATTAGAACAGATGAGTGCACTGAGCCCTCGGGGTGTATGTGTGTGTGTGTTTATACATATGCATGTTAAGAAGACAGCGGCGGTAGACCCTTTCTAACCCCTGAGTATGACACTGAACAGTAAGAGAGCAGCATTTAGGCCATAATTAGTGTCCTGTTCCTAGTGGAGTTCTGTCTGCTGGGATAATTAGGTCTCTCTTCATTACAGCAATTGCAGATAGAACCACGACTGGAGCCCAATAAAAGCCTCAGCCATTACACCACTTGAACATCGTGCTTTCTCCCCATGGTTCAGCCTTTGTGCGTTAAAATCCACCAGGTCTCACAAGTAATCAAATGTGGGTGGTGCACAGGTGCTACCGAGCAACAAGCTTTTCAAAATTTAAAATTAACACTGTCTAATATAAGCACTTTATTTTTAGACTTGTCGAGCCACGAACGAGCGCGGTGGAGATAAATGATTGAACTGATTTGTGGGTTTGCGCTTTGTTTGTGTGTGCGCTCAAGTATTGAACGTAGGATGAAAAGTAATACAAGGTACGACTCAATGGATGGCACTGTCACCTTGCTCCAGACTGAAATATCTCAACAACTGTTCGATGGATTGTCGTGAAATTTTTGCGTAGTCTGTCATGAATCCTACTGCTTTTGATGATGCTCTGGGTTTTTCCTTTAGAGCCGCCATTATGCTGATGGATCACCATGAACTTTGGCACAAACCCTCATGTCCCCTTTCAGGATAAATTGCAACACCACTGGTGACCTCTTAACTTTTCGTCACTCGTTCAATACTTTGACTAATTACTAATACCTGCAAATCTATTAGCATTCCCATCAGCCTCTTTTGTGTTCAGTGTTAATGAGCTCATGTTAGTATGCAAACACAGTTTTCTGAAATGGTGAACAAAGTAAAGCTTATTCTTGCATGCAGACATAGTCACTCAAAACACAGCCTCCCAGAACTTACATTAACGCCGTCGACTTGTTTCATTAATGTTTTATTGCTTATGGTGTGAAACGAGTAGCGTATAAGTCCTAAAAACATACTGAGGTAATTTAAAAACTCTGACAACCACTTCATCACCTCAATTATAAGTACACAATTGTGTAGTAAAATCACTTTTTAATGACTGTCTTTTTGCTTGAATGAGCAAAAACACTGGCTGACATCGCCTGCTGTGAATGCATAACCATATCAGGATTCATGTATCCGACTGAGGACAATTACATACAAAAGGATCTGTCAGCTTTGATTGAATCACAGAATACTGTCACTTGGCAGAGAACACTAGGAGCTCATGTAAAATTCATACCAAACAGCAATGATGATGTGCTGTGTAATGTTTGGCGCTCACACCATCGCAGGTACTGTATGGCACACAGGATGTTTGCAGCGAGACACAGTGATGTGTCTTGTAATTCTTCCCACCTCCTCTGATGAGTCAAGTGTTTTTTTACTCTTTAGTCTGCGTTTCAGGTGTGAGCCTCAGGTTAGATGGTGTGGGGGTGGACAGCTGACTGCTATAACTCTGCCCGTGGAGCTTCATCAATGCGATGACGGAATTGATCACCTTTATTTCACAATGTCAACTCGTTTTTCTTTTTTTTCTCCTTCGGCTTATGAAAATAAAAAATCACAGTTGCTCAGTGGCTTCGAGGACATGATGACAACCTGGCACAAAAAGTACAGCTGCAATCGGAAATGTTCAACCCCCACAGCGAAAGTAAGGAAAGTTTAGAGCTAAACTTTTCTGCAGAGTTAGATTTTGCTTTAAATTAAGCTTTTCTTTGAATTATACAGGAAGGAAATGAAAGGCGTAGTATTTTATAGTAGCAGGATAATTTGTTAACACTGCCGTGCCACAGTTATTCAACCCTTAAATGATATTGCTGAATTTAAAAACCTGCTGCGGGAGCTGAAGTTGGCTTATAACCCAATGGGAACTTAGCAACCCTTAATTTTCTTCAGCTGTGATGTGTTTGTAGAATGATGTGATGTGTTTATATGCAATCATGGTGAGGACTAAGGAGCTGCCACAAAAGCTGAGAGAGGAGATAATTTCACTGCTCCAAAGGGGCAATTGGTATAAGATGATTTTCCATTTGTTTATGTAAAACTTCATTTAGGTTTCCTAATATGTACAATATACACGTCCCGCATCGATAAAAAAAACACAAATGAAGACCCACAATGTTAGAGTAAAATGAGGACAAGAGGACCAAACAAAACAACACAAAACTCTTCATATCTGATGAACTCAAATGTTAATTATGAATACACATGCACACACACTGATCAGCCACAATATCAAAACGGCTGACAGCTGATGTGAATAGCAGTGATTATCTTGTTACAATGGCACATTTCAAGGCGTGGGATATTTTAGGCAGCAAGTGAGCGGTCCTTTCTTGAAGTTGATGTGTTGGAAGCAGGAAAAATGCGCAACCATAAATATCTGCTCTGACACGGACCAAACCGTGAGGACTAGACGACTGGGTCAGATAGTCTCCGAAACGAGTCTGGTGCTGTGGTTAGTGCATACCAAAAGTTGTCTAAGGAAAGACAAAAAGTGCGAAAGTTTACCGATATAGGGAGTGACAGCTGACCTGTGTGGTCTGATCCCACAGCAGAAGAGCTACTGTGGCACTAATTGCTGAAAACCTTAATGACAGACAGGTGTCAGGACACACAGTGCAGCTTTCTGTGTG